AAACTGTATTTTTTGGACATTTTACTTTTCTGTTTCTAGTGCTGTGAAGCTTGGAGGACTTTCACTGCTATCTTTTAGCTTTTTTCACTTTTGGGGCATTTGTTATGATGCATAACCATTGCAACAAGCTGGTTTATATATATATATATATATATATATATATATATATATATATATATATATATATATATATATATATATACAAATATATATATATATATATATACAAATATATATATATATACAAATATATATATATACATATATATATAGATATATAGGAATGTGAATTTGCAATTTTCTTTTAAAATAAACTAGATTATGTGAGTAAATGCTTCAGAGGTGTATTAATGTGTCTTGAGGTGAGGGTGGAGATGGCAGACCATGTGTGGTGGAGGGTTCAGAAGGCAAAAGAGCAGGCACGGATGAAAAAATAAAAATGGATTTAATGGTAGCAGCACAAGCACGAACACAACGAAGACAACGCAATGATCCGACAACGACTGGAACAAAGAGGGAGGTATAAATACACATAGCAATCAGGGAACACATGGGCAGGTTAATGAGGGGCAGGTGAGAACAATAAGGCTAATTACGGAAGGAGCGACACAGTCAGGGAGGCCGGGGCGAATCATGACATAACGTGACTGAGAGGTTAAATGTTAAACAGACATCATGCAATCTTTACATTTTCATGTGCACATTTCCCTTAAGCATCTACCTTCTGAACGTAGTACTATTCACGAGTATTTACATTGGTAAACACCAATCTAATATAATAGAAACAGTGTAATTTCATCAGCCACTGCAGCCATTATGCATTAATATTTAATGTGCTCTTCAAGTATCAAGTTACTGACACTCGACAGCGATTATGAGTCTGTAGCTGTTAGCGAATGCTGTTTCTTCCTATGAAGAATCCTTGAAGACCCCAGTTGTCACTCCCATGCTGGTAATTCTCTGAAGACAAACAGCCGGATCGAATTGTTTCCTTTTGTTGAGGTTAGTGGGTGAAACCACTGCAAATTGGCAGGCGGAGCTGATGAGGTCGAACACAAGAATGAAGCACCACTGAGAGTAAATTAAGGACATATTAACGTTTCTGTTACACTCCTACCTGGTGGTTTACTGTGTGAGTTCCAGGATCACAGACTCTGAATGTTTATTGCTTAAAAAACATGCACAGATGTTTTTTATAGGATTTAGAAAGTATTCGTGTCACACAAAACACGTTCTATATATGTTTTTTTTTAAATATTGATTGTGTTGACTGGTTGCATTGTTGCTGCTGATTAATTAATGTGCTTTTAACTTGTTATTGGTTGTTGGACTGTGCACTTTATTGATTGTTTGATTTGTTTTTATTTTTTGTTCTTAAATTGTTTGCAATTAAAACTAGATACCATAGCAGCTCAAGTTTAGCTTGCAATTGGGTAGACTTGAGAATATTATACTACGGCAGAGAGATGGGAATGTGTTCCGGGGCAATAAGCTTCCATAAAGCTTTAGGGTGAGTGAAGCCTCCAACATTTCCTTTGTGTTCAATGTGCAATAAAAGACGATAAACCTTTTATTTTTATAGCTTTACTTTTTTGTAATCTTTTGAAAAATGGACTTTACTTTTGGTATATTTTAATACAAGTTTAGCTTTATTTCATTTGCAACACAAGTCCTACAGAAGCACAGCATCAGTTTGTCTAAGAACATTCAGTCAAGATGGTTTTAGTGTTTAACAGGAAAAAAAATGCTAACTAAAATTGAAATGACAAAATGAATACTGGAGCACAGAGGGGCTAAAGATATGATTTTTTTGTGGAGGTTTCTTCCTGTTAAAAGGAAGTTTTCCTCTTCACTGTCGCTACATGCTTGTTTAGTATGAGGATTGCTGTAAAGACTCTGACACTAGTCAGTGACTTGATGCAACCTATTGGGTTCCTTAAATAGGAAACTTTTTACTGATTGGCTTAATGAACTGAACTGTATTGGAATGTTTAATTAAATTCAATTCAATTTTATTTATATAGCGCCAAATCACGACAAGAGTCATCTCAAGGCACTTCACATAATTAACATTCCAATTCAGGTCAGTTCATTAAGCCAATCAGAAAAAATGTTTCCTATATAAGGAAACCAGCAAATTGCAGTAATCCTCATACTAAGCAAGCATATAGTGACAGTGGAGAGGAAAACTCCCTTTTAACAGGAAGAAATCTCCAGAGAATCCTGGCTCAGTATAAGCAGCCATCCTCCACGACTCACTGGGGATCGAGAAGACAGAGCACGCACACACACACACACACACACACACACACACACACACACACACACACACACACACACACACACACACACACACACACACACGCACGCACGCACGCACGCACACGCACACACACACACCAATAAAGTGTCTATGGTTACATTGTGATTTCTTAGTAAATATTCTATTTGGTGAGAGATAAACTTTATTGTATTTATCCTAGTGGATCTATTGTTAAACGGATAAACTAGTAGTAGCACATCCAACGTCAAAGAAACAAAAAGTTATTATCAGGAGAGGGAGAATGTTTAAGTGGTTAGCAGCAGTGTGCTAGACGATGGCCCCCTCCATGAGGCCACCACAGCTCAGCAGAACATCATTGTAGCTTCTTCTGGGGAGAAAAACACTTAGAGAATAAATAAAGTTAATATTTGTGTAATCCAATGCCCCAACATCTGTCCCTGTGTGAAGTGCCTTGAGACAAGGCTTGTCATGTTTTGGCGCTATATAAACAAACTGAAGTGAATTGAAAACTGAATTGTGGTAATCTTAAAAATAATTCACATATATGAAATTTGAGCAAAATGATTTTAGGTCAGTCAGGATGCCAAAGACTAACTTTATGTTTAAAAATGCACCAAGATTCTGAAACTATGAGGTGCTTAATATATGCAGATTGTTGAAAATGACATACGCCCCCACCCCCCCCCAAAAAAAGTCGCCACCCAAAAATAAAAAAGCTCACTCTCAAATATTTTGTTGGCCTTTAGCTTTGATCACGGCACACATTCGCTGTGGCGTTGTTTCAGTAAACCTCTGCAGTGTCACCAGATTTATTCCCATCCAGTGTTGCATTCATGTTTCACCAAGATCTTGCTTTGATGACGGTAGAGTCTGACCACTGCTCAAAGCCTTCTCCAGCACATCCCAAAGATTCTCTGTGAAGTTCAGGTCTGGACTCCATGGTGGTCGATCCATGTGTGGAAATTATGTCTCATGCTCCCTGAACTACTCTTTCACTACTTTCACTAACTTGGAATACGCCCGTGCCATCAGGGAATATGGAATAACCTGATCATTCAGTATATTTTGGTAGTCAGCTGACCCCATTCCTGGAGCACATCCTGTTGCTGAACCTAGACCTGACCAACTGCAGCAACCCCAGATCATAGCGCTACCACCACAGGCATGTGCAATAGGCACTAGGCATGATGGGTGCATCTCTTCAACTGCCTCTCTTCTTAAGTACTGCGCATAATCTGCATTTAAGTGGAGTTTAAAAATGTTCTCACAATTTTACCACGACCAAATCACCTTGAGATGTATTTCCTATTACTTTTAGGTGCAGCAATCTCTACCATAGACCTGCACTATAACAGAGGAATGCTCGCTAGATCCCACTACAATACAAAGAATACGAGAGCCTATGCGTGCAGAGGTTTGCGATCGAAGCATACACAGAAGACCAGACCTTTCCTATTAACCAATCACAGCTAGAGAAATACCGTAAACTTGAAAATGATGGAATGTGGTGTTGGTGACCTATAAACATTGGCCAGAGGGTAAAAAAGCCCCAAACAGTCAGGAATCATCTCAGTACATAGGGACAGATGTTGGGACAATGGATTACACAAATTGAGTGCATTATTTTTCTTTTACTATAACGTGGATTGTGACCATAAACCAGCAAAGTAAGACAGAATTTACGCCTTTGACTTCATGAAATTAGCTATTTTCTGCTGCTGCGTTTGCTCCGTGAATGTTGCAGGTAGCGTAATAGTGCTTATTTTGTTAGAAAGAGGAGAGTCGGGGCTTTAATTTAAATGGATATGATCATAATACACCGTTGCTACGGGGCATTTGTCTCGATATGTGTATATAGCGTCTTTTTACGGCCTTTTCATGTACTGTGGCCTTTGCATTTACATTTGCTTATTGCTGGCATTGGGTGTGGTTGACTTAGAAAACGAGAATTCTATCATTTAGACAAGCCTCTTCCCGTTAAGTACGTGTGCATTTAGCATATGTTGGTGAATGTTAAGCATGTTTGCAAAACAACTTTGTTGATGGAAGTGCCTGTGGACCTAATACTGGGTCTGTGACTTAGAAAAATGCGCCCTACATAAAAAAAGAATAAATTCACCAACTGCCACCGAAACTGAAGCCTTTTATTCAGGTTTGCATCACTAATTAGTGATTTTCTTATGGCTATATCTGTTCAGTCCCGATCCCTTGACTTCCCTTCATATTGTGCATCTGGAAAAACTCTTACTTTCACTATTAAACATAGCCCTGATTTCTACTGTTGTCTTAGATCATTCAGGATTTGTTTCTGGCCACATTTCTTCCTGAAAGACAACAGGTCCCTGCTATTGTTTCAGTTTTTAATAATACACTGAACAGTTTTTAACCCAATTTTTGTTGTTTCTACAATCTCCTTAGATGTTTTCTTTGCTTGACGCATGCCAACAATCTGACCCATCTCAAAAAGATCTTTTCCACGAACACCAGATGTGTCTTTCCACATGTTTGTTTAAGAAATGAGAAGCAACTCATCGCACCAGTTGGGGTCAAATCACTTGTTGCCAGCTGAAAGACGCAGTAATTATCCAATAGGAGGCTCGTACCCATTTGCTTAGTTAAATTCAAGTGGTGTCTTATTTTTTGAGTGAATCAGTGTATGTCAGTTTAAGATAAATGCAAAAATACTAATACTTCCAAAGTAAAAATAACAACACAATTCTTAAAACAAGATGTCTCTTTAATTGGTAAGTGTCAACAGCAGTACAAAAGATGGAGTGATGTGAGAAGCTTTCTGCAACACAGTTTTCTGTTTCTTTTACAGAAAAAAACTTAATTCTTGAGGTAAATGAGCAAAAAACAGGCAGTTATTCGGCCCACCGCTGCATCGACACAGTGGACCAAGACTTACGGAAAATGCTGCTTTATATTATGTTTCAAGTGATCCTGTGGGGATAATTTAATAATTTACAGTATACACATTTCTACGGTGCTCATATGCACCCACGTGTCAATCATTGGTTTGCTTTTTTCTTGATATAGTGTATTAATACTACCAAACAAAGCCAAGAAGACGGCTCTCCACACACACCAAAGTAAAATTGTTCACCTTAAGTTTACCTCACGTCAATACTGCACATGAAAAACAAAACAAAAAATAAAATAAAATGCTTGTGTATACTTTGAAGCCAAGCAAAACAAACATAAAAGAAAATTAAGTAACATTTTCTCTCTTTTTTTTCCCAGCATTTATACACCCTTGTAAATAATTGACCTTTTTCCTGTATGAAGAACACAAACGTGATGGCAACATTATTTTAAATTGAATTAAAAACTTTACATTGGACTGTACAAGATATTATGATAAACTATTTACATATTCAGACATAAACATTTTTTCCTTTAAAGCAGCAACAGACACTATGTATTTCTATTTATTTTTTTCTCTAATAACAACCAAACAATACTTGCCATGGGATTTACGTACCTGCCAGGAGAGGAAATAACCAAAAAGAGTTTACGCAGATAATTGTTTCAGGCTGCCAGCATTTTTTTTAAACAATGGCTCCAGTCATCGAAGAGCCCCACACAGTGTTGCTTGAAAAGACAACTCTTAAAATCAGAGTACCAAAGGCAACTAAAAATGTTGCCTCCAAACAAGATTTTTTTTTACACTTTTCTGAACAGCAGCTAGCATGTCAGTCCAGCATGTCAGTGAATTGTGCTGATTAAATTAACATGGAGAACATTCCCACCATTTACATCACGACATTAAGACAGGAAAAATAAAATTTAATCAAATTACAGTAATAAAACAGCATAGATTCTTTTTGTACTCAGTTCATTGAAAACATTTGCACATGATTAAAAAAAAGCTAAGGGCTACGTTTGCAGATTCTGGATTGTTGAAGCCATAAAAAAAAAACGGCAGCGTACAAAAAGAAACGGCAAAGTGAGATCGTACAAACAGAACGCACAAGAGCTGTGCTTTGGACAACTTTTGAAGAAATAAATAACCTTTCTCACCATAGAAAACCTTAAGATTGTGTTTGAATTAGTAATTTGCAAAAAAAAAAAAAAAAGGTTAGAATAAAGTCAATGCAAGCCAAATGCATGCAGAAATTTTCAGATGATCTTTAAAAAATTTGCTACAAAACACAAATGAGAGATGCACCTGCCGGTGGCCGCATACCACTTTATAGTTATAATAAACATGTGGATGAATGACTTTTACATTAAGTGCTTGTTGTTTGATTTAGTACCTTATAAAATGAATTGCTTCTTTGTGTCGGGACAAAAACTTTTCCAAGTAGCAGGGAAAAAATTAAATCAGTCTTTACATGAGGTACGGTGACTTGCCAGACATTAAGACACGTGACGCACAAAAGAGACCATAACATAAAACTGCCATTTTCATAACTTATTACTGACTAATGAACATAACATGATTCATATTTACAAAAAAATAAAAACGTTTACGGTGAATTCACTGAAAACATGTTTTGCTCCAAATTATTATTTTTTAAATTCTCTTTTTTCTGATTGTCCATGTTGTGGATGATTTACTGAAGATTTTAGAGCCGACAGTGGCTAATAATAAATAAAACACACTGCAGTATCAAATAGGATATAAATGCACTGACGTCTTGTTGTTTTCACAGCTCTCTGAGCCTGCTGTTGAATTTTCTGCTCACTTTCTTGTGCTGAGTCCTTCCCTAAGGCAGCCCTGAAGCTTCAACAAAGTGTTCTTTTGTCACACACACGCGTGCCTTTGCATAAATACACAAAATAAAAAGACAAACAGAAAACAAACACACACCAAAAATAAAAAATTCAACCAAATCTGGTAATCATGACAGCAAACCAGTTTTGAGTCCGGCCAAGGAATCTTGTTCATTCATGATGTTTCTTTTTTTTTTTTTGTACTCAACTTCACATTAATCAGCATTAAAAAAAATACAATTTATTTCCAGTGCTTATAACACATCGTCTCTTTCTGAGTTCATGTTATCGTTTTCTTTTTTCTGTGTATGTGTGTGTGTGTGTGTGTTTGCTCTAATAAGCACAGTCAAGTTTCCCTTCCTTGAAGAGTCCAACAGCCAGCCAGCTAATGCAGTGTGGCGCAGTCGGGAAATTATTTACAATCACAAACAAATCAACTGAACCACAAGCAAACAGGAGGAAACACCTTAGAAAATACCAAACAGGTTGAGTCAGAGGGAAAGTCACTCGAGTTTGTTCGTAGCAGAGCACCCGTAAGCTGCTGCTCAAAGGAGAAGAGATGCAATGGAAAAAAAAAATTCACCAATGAAGTGATTCATAAAGCATGCATGAACAGTGTCTAAATGTTCTAAAAGTGACCGTGTATTGGCGAGAAGGCTTTGGGAAATAAGTGGGCAAAAATGAGCCATCTGTACCGATTAGAGCCGAGAGAAAAATGCAGCGACCGGCACCGGGACGCTGACCGGCTCGAGCCAGTGAGCAGACTCTTCCCAAAGCTCTCTGAAATGGACGAGTTCAAGGGCAAGGGAGGGGAATAACTGGACTCATGCATTAATAATGCCGTATTTCAGATGATACCCAGTCGTCAGTCATTTTAATAATCCCCCACAGCTTGATGTACTTGTTCCATCTGCTCGCCAGTGCCTGGTGAGTGGGCCGCGGTGGAAGCCCTGTCGAGGCCTTACTTCCAGCACTTTGATGGAGAGCACAATGAGGGACACACACCCTGTTCTTTCATTGTTTCCCACACTTCCCCACTGCTTTCTTCCTTTCTGAGCCAGATGGTGCCCCCTGAGTGCTCAGGTTGCCACAGACTGGGGTCAGAGCGGGGCATGGCAGAGAGGAGAGCCACTTAGACCTTCTCTACTGATCTGAGCCTCAGCATCAAGGCTGTGAATGCTCAAGTTATTTTGTGCAACGGCAGACTCTTTTGACCATCTATTTAAGGTCATTTTCTAGTAGTTGTTGTTTTTATTAACAAATAAAACTCATGAATGGCAGCGATTTTATAAATGTGCATCATAAGAAACATCTGTTTTTGAGCCACATTTGTTGAAGGTAAACATGTTTGCAGCCTTTTCCCTTTGTTGAGGCACATCCAGGCGATTTGTCACTCCTTCACTAATCATCTCGTCGTATAAACCCCTTCACCGCGCTGTTTTTAAGACTTCTTAGTGTCAGTTCAAGATTTACAATGTCTAAAAAAAATTACATTTTAAGATGTAAGACTTTAAACATGCTGTCCAAACGGGGCTAAAGTGTTTAACAGAATGTACCGTAGCTTTACAGCTACACATTGTACAACATCAATTTAACTTGGTTAATGCCACCAAAGCTGCCTTTCGTTCCTGTTCCAATCCTGCAGATTGGAGTCCTTTGGCCCTTTAGCTCTCTGGCCTGATTACTATCACTGATTAAGATTTTTGTGAGTCTGACTGGGCTGCAGAGCTGGAAATAACGCTGCAATTTCCTGTTCAAACTGGGATAAACGAATGACAAGGGGTGTCATGGATGATCACTGCATTCATCTCCCTGGAGTACAGCTAGCTTTCTGTCCAAAGATGTCACATTTTTTTACTTCTTAAAGAGCTCGCTGGCTCAGAGATACGCCGCTTCGTTCGTTTGATCTGTTAGAGCGAGGAAAGACTGTCTAAGACTTTAGTTTGCAAATCAACATGAAGTATTTGGCACTTTCACACAAAAAATGAAGTTTAATAATAATAATTATTATTGTTGTTATTATTATTATTATTATTATTATTATTACCCTTTTAATATTGAATTCCGATTGAAATATTTGTATTGACCATATTTTTCTCCTCATGATTAGAAACATTCACAAGCTGTTGGCTGGCACACTTTACCTGAGTGAGAGTATTATTCCCGTCTTAAATGGTTCGATAATGTTGCAAAATCAAAGACGTGATGAAGACAAGGTGACTGTAAGAAGTACAGGATCATACAAACGTCCAGCTTCAAGTTCTGACTCCCGCCGTGGGCAACAACCTAATTGTGTAACTTTGTCCGTGATGCCAAAACAAAAAGCAATGAATACAAAACAAATATAAATTAGCACAATCAAAATTCTACACAAACCTAAAGAAATATTTAAGACCACATAGCTTTTGATGGATGAAGCCGTAGCTGCATGCTGGTGTCTACATGATCGTGTTTCTTTTCCTTCCCCCGTGAATGTTTGTGTGAGTTTGTCCCTCGGTTGCAAACAGCCCTTTGGGCATCCTCCTGTGTGAGTGTTGTGTCTGCCTTAGCCTCTTCCCATTCAGAAGCTCTCAGTTAGCGCTGACTGGCTCTTGTGTGTCATTTTCACTGCTATAGTCTGATTTGGGCTCGTCCTCAAAGTCTTCATACATGTCCATCTCATCCTCGCCGTTGACGGGCTCGCTGTTGTTTGCCATGACGCCGGGCTCTAGCTTCATGTTGTAAGTGCTCTGAATGACGGGAATGGAAGGCTCAGGACTCACTGAGGCGCTCGAGCAATCCGACGTCATCTGAGGTGAGGGCGTGGTGGTCGCCATGGTGATTGCCCCGGGGTAGACCATGCTGGCGCTGGTGGTGATGGGAATCTGAGGAGGCTGGCTGGACAAAGTAGAAAAAAAAATCTAATTAAAGAATGCTAAAACGCCGATTAGGACAACTACACCCGCTTCTGTTCCTGCAGCTTTTCTTAGCAGATCCCTTCAAGCCAGAGGGTCTGTGAAAGTGATTTGGCGGAGAGTTTTCCCTGACAGCTCCCTGTTTTGAGCTGTTCAGAAACACTAGCCAGTTTATTGGTGACATAAAACCAATCCGAGGTTAGTCCTGCTGTGCTGCGTGATTGATACCGCAGCCGCCGAAGCTTATGACTGACAAGGGAACACCTGGAGAAGAGTTTCTCCTGCTAACCGCACACGGTAAATTAAAGTGTTACGTTGTGGACTGCTGCCCTCCAGGCGTCTCTGAGTGTATACTTACAGCTTCTATCCTGCAATAATCTCTGCACTCCGTGCTCCATTTGGAGACTGCTATTGTATGACATTGTAAAATCACAGCTATTGAGAAACACTTAATTTTACAGCGCACGCCTCAGCTTATGCCCGAGTTTTCACTTTTCAAGACCAAGATCGAGACAGCCAGAAGGATGCATTGTGCTTGAAATGGGGCGTTTGTGAACGTACCCCACAGTGAAGAACTGCCTCATTTCTTGCCTCCGTGAGCGCATCATCTGCTTGTACTCCCCAATGCGGAGCTTTTTGCCGTCGATGATGCAGGTCCTTTTAGGTCGTGGCTTGTACTTGTAGTTTGGATACTTCTCTAGATGGAGCTTGCTCAGACGGGCCTGCTCTTCGTAGTACGGCTGCTTGTCCTGGTTGGACATGGACTTCCACCGTGAGCCTGATGATGAAAGTAGAGGGATATTTTACTATTTGTGGTTCCCCACATGTTTCTTTGAGGACCCCCATGCCTGTGTTCAAGACAAGCCAGGACCCCAAACCCATACCCACATCAAAAGGGATTACAAACTTTCTAAAAGACGTACAGTTATAATCTTATGCAGCGTTTGGATTATAATATTGGATGTGCTATTGGGATTTTACAACTTTTACAAATATAATCTTGGTAACCTCAAAACCCTGGCAAAGACAAAATTGTGGGGCCCCCCTGTGATCTCTAGTGACCCCATTTTGGGAACCACTGAAAGAGGAAATATCATTTTTAAAATTGTAAATGACCTGTATTTGTACAGGGCCTTCTTAGGATTCTGCAACCCCCCCAAGGAACTTCACAACACAATCAGTTATTCACCCATTCGCACACACATTCATATGCTGGTAAGGATGAGCTACGTTGTAGCCACAGCAGCCTGGGGCGCACTGGCAGAGGCGAGGCTGCCAAACACCGGAGCCACCAGTCCCTCTGACTACCACCAGCAGACAAGGTGGGTTAAATGTCTTGCCCAAGGACACAACAGCAGCATTTTCTGCTGGCATCGGCAGATTTTAAATTACACTTATGATTATATGACTTCCCCTATATTAAAAAAAATCATTAATTCACTCTAAATTGGATTTTCAAGTGAAGTATTTCTGCATTAACTAACTCAAGTTTGCAAAAGAGGTGTTTTTCTGCTTTTAAACGTTTCCATTACATCAACAATTTGCCATTGAAGTCACGGTGCCGTTTTAAAAATATCTCACAAATCACTGGATGAATTCTGATGAAACTCTCAGAAGTTTTTCATTGGATTTACAACTACAACTGATCATCTTTACAAGTCAATCCAATCCAACGTTAGCAGTCACAGCCAATCAACCATATCCATTCAAAAAAAGGAATCTAGTCTCCCCAAACCCCCAGTGAGTCACAGCGAACAGCTGCCAGGGTCTGTTATGGGCCATTCCCATCTGTACCGGGTCGGCCCGGGCCGGGTAGCCCTAGTCGGCCCCAGTCTGGCCCGGTTGATTCCACACATCCTTGCCTTAAGCCCATGTGGGCTGATTCTACCCACCAATCAGAGGCTTGCTCTAATGGAAGGTGTGAATTTGCTGTCAGCAGTGGGTGTGTTGGCCCTGGTCGGCCTGAAGCAGACCCCCTCGAGAAGAGGGCTGAGAATGACCCTTGGTTGGCCCGGAAAAATACCAGGCCACCCAGATATGTAAACAACCTACGCTACCCGGCCCGGGCCGACCCGGTACAGATGGGAATGGCCCATTAGAGGTCTCTTCCTGTTAAAGGGGAGTTTTCCTCTCCACTGTCACTACATGCTTGCTTATAGGGGTCGCTGCAAAGTGTCTGACACAAGTAACTCGATGCAAACTGCTGGGTTTCCTTATTACAGGAAACTTCATTGGTATAACGAACTGAACTCAGTTGGAATGATTACTTTGTAAAGTGCCTTGAGGTGACTCTTGTTGGTATTTGGTGATATATAAATTAACAGAATTTAAATTGAATTAAAACATATTGGCAAACCAACAGGCATCCTCAATATGTTATTAGGTTGTGTGAGATGTTTACTTTTTTTAATTTCATGAAAACATAATGTTTGAAACAAAGGCTGGCAGGTGATTTGCATTCCTTTGAGGCATTCCAGAAGTGACCGTGTGTATTTTCCCTGGCAATAGGGGGCAGCACACTCCTAAATCGTTGCAAGCAAGCAGTATTTTTTTGTATGAGTAAAACCTTACCAACGGATGGCCGTTAGGGTCAAAAATCCCTGGGAGTGCAATTTTCAAAAGACTACATGGTCAGATCTTTCTAGCAAAACGACAAGCACATCAGACCCCCTTTCATCACTGGCAGCAAGTGAAGAAGTAAATGTGTACAACGGTTATGAATGGCAAAAGTTTTGCAACCAAATTACTAAATGCATTTTGTCCTCACGGGCTCCCGTTGATGGCGTCTAATATGGCATTGCCCAGAGACTTAGACCCGCTCCCATGTTTTTTAGACCAGATTTTTATGCTTATTTGTTACAAAGCCGCCAATATTTTTCAACCAATGGGAATCATTTAATTCCTTTTCAACAACATAAATACATTTTTCCAGATATTATCTGTAAAAACTACACATCGTTTCTTAAATTTGAAACCCAGATAGAGAAAGAGGGAGATTTCTACCTTTGCCGACATGTGTTGCCCATTTTAGAACAACCTTTTGATTGGTGCGCCAGTGCACATCATCTTACAGCATTGTTGGTTCCTTACTGTCAAACAGTACGGAACAACACGCTGCAGTAGTAAATACTGGAGCTCCTTGAAGTGCGCCACACTGGCATGCATGACAGCACTTTTAACAGCTCTGATGTATGGACTCCAGCGCTGAGGGGACAAGACCCATTTAGTCTCTGTCATTTTTCATGACAAACACTTATGGGAGTGATGGGCTATAAATCCATCTGTATGCTGAGGTGAACTGATGCACAGCAGGCAACATAAAACACACACACACACACACACACACACACACACACACACACACACACACACACACACACACACTCTACTGCAAATCTTGTCGTATATTTACATATCAGAGAGCAATAAAGCCATCAAAATAAAAGTGAAATACTCGGTTGGCCTGTAAAAGAGGAAAAAGTCAGGTTGATTCTTTAATGTTCATAAATAAAAATAAAACATTTGTTAATTTCGTAGATGAGCAGATTGCTGCTTGTTTATTTTTTTGTCAGCATGTAAAATGTTGAGTGTCTTAAAGAGTTTACAGCATTTAAGTGGCGTCTTAAACATGAAGAAGGAGTGTCTGCTCAGGCCTTGCGTGTTATTTGGTTAACCTGTAGCTGTTACGTGTGATTTAGAAGGTCTTACCCAAAATCTTGCTGATGTTGGAGTTGTGCATGTCAGGGAACGCCTGGAGGATCTTGCGCCGCTCGTCTTTGGCCCATACCATGAACGCGTTCATCGGCCGTTTAATGTGCGGCTCGTTGCTGTTCCGTCCCCTGGACTCCCTGAAGACCCGCGCCTCAGTGGATCCAGCGCCTCCTGTTGGCCAACAACAAAAGGTTTCATCAGCAGAGCCATTGAATACCTCGGACCCTGGAAAAGCCAGAGCCGGAGCGAGAAGAAGAGAGGCGAGGAAGGGCATTGATTAAATGACGAGCAAGGTTTGAACTCTCCTTCTCCTGCTATCACTGCCTCTTTCATCATCGTAATGAATATTGTTTTAAATGAGGGCAGCGGAAGCAAACCCTCCAGGAGAGACGGACTTTTCTGTTTAGTGGGAAAAGACTGACTGGAAACGATTGGGGGCTGCAAAGCTGAACTCACTGTCAGTTTGCATGGAGCTGTGTTGCCTCAGCTTCCAACTCTAAGAGGAAAAAACTTTTCACTTCAAAGACAGTTTAGTGTTTTGTCTTTAAACGCTCACTTTTTTCAAAGGCACACTTTTCAGTTCGACATCCATACTGCCCACTAAGTGTGCCTGAATGAATAATAAATAGGAGACTTGAGGCAGTCTTTAAAATTAAAAACTCAAGAAACAAACTTTGAATAATCCTAAAGTATATTTTAACATGCATGTGCACAAATAAATAAAATTCTGTTATTTTTATGTTCCACAGCTTTTTTTAAATCTCTCCTCCTCTTAAGCATGCAAACACACACACACACACACACACACACAAACACACACGCGCGCGCGCACACAAACCGGCCCGCATTAGTGTGGGGAGAGTGTGCCGACTCTGCAAAGTGCTGTTTCTCAATCAGGGCATTCACAATCAGCATAAGCAAGTTTCTCTCAGTATTAAACTGTACATCAGACTGATAATGATTTCTGTTTGCATGCACATTTGCTTCCTTTTATATGTAAGATGTGAAAGAATTAAATAAAAGCAATATGAATATTTAAACAAACAAAAACATGTTGATAAACAAGGCTTGAAAAATAAGACAAAAAAGAGCCTTCCATATGCTACGATACATCTTTAATGATCTCAAATCTGGAAAAGAAAGCTCGGGATGACTCATGCATATTTCATCATCCACATGTGAAGCCTTCTCATTAGACTATTTCACTAGCAGCATTGGCACGCGTTACCTGGGGTTTGATTTCTATTATTATTTCAGTTGAGAAATCAAACTCTTAATGAGTAATACAGGGCCGTGCAGAGACAGTAACTCAAAATCCTCAGCTGCTCTAATCCCTACAGATAGCACTGCACCATTTTCAGCCTAAATCTGAAAAAAATGAAAAAGATTCTTGTTTTCTTTTTAAAATGATGTTTGCTTGAATGCTAAAGGAGACAAATAGTTCCTCCAAAACAATGACAGAAGTGTGGTGGGCACTGATTTCAGTAAGCTGCCCACACAGAAACACCTTTGTTTCATGAACAAATAAGGATGGACAATATACCGGCATCAATATCGGTATCGGCTGATGTTAGTCATTTTTTAACATATCGGTATTGGTTCGATAAATAAAACTGGGCCGATATTAACAACCGATGATTTTTTTCCATCTTGGCTCCATTTGTTTGCCTGTTTCAGAGGGTGGGGGTGAGGGGGGTGATGTGTAATTGTTTAGTCACGTGAACAATGAATGAAATCATCTCAGAACCGTAAATGTGTGTGTTGTGTGTACATAATAACATAAATTCAGCTTTAATCATTTTCATTCTATACAAAATCTGCTGATTTTAGAAACATTAATGTCAGTTTATCGGTATTGGCAAATATCGGTTATCGGTCATAACAGTGATCTTAATATCGGATATCAGTATCGGCTCCAAAATTTCATATTGGTGCATCACTATGAAGAAAACAACTAAAGTTGAACTAAAAGTCTGTCAAGTGTGTCCTCTCAGTTTAGAAATAAGGTTGGCAAGGAACAGAAATTTATTCTATAATTCACAAAATGCAAATTGCTTCAATTTCTTAAGGTAAATCAATCAAAAATAGCAACGATTTTTAGTTTGACTCATACTTTTGCATTTTATCCAAGAAGGTATCCACTAAAACCTTTAAATGAAGGATGAAGCTTCAGGTCTGTGCTGGATTCTTTTTCTGTTTGTCTCAAAAAAATCATGATTTTCAGAACGGACGTTTTCAGGAACTTTTGGATTGCCTGGAGAAGGGTAGGTACTCAGATTGGTCCGGTGGAGAAGCTGGTGGAGGAACTTTTGGTTAACTCATGCTGATTGGTTGTAACACAGCAGGAAATGACATCAGCAGATGCTGTCTAAAACAATCGGCATTGGAAAAGTTGCTTGTGACGCAGAATGGAAGCAAAAGAAAATGATCGACAATCGTGCTGCTTTAAAATCGCCGTTACTGAAGCTAACACAGAAAAACAGCCAAATTCCCCCACAAACACCCTCCCAGAATGCACCCTGAAGCTCCGACGATGGAAACACGCCTACTAGGAGTGTAACAATCGACCTGCATTGATCACACTCATCTATCCAAATAGCAAAAAAATCTATAACAATTTATGAAAGGCGCTTTTATTTAGAAAATGGCTTTGTTTTGAAGTCCCGCCCTTTTCCACCTGTTCCTGAAAATCACCAAATGTGTCAAATGAAGAAGCTAGCGGCGTCATGGCGAGCGGTGACAAAACAGTCGGTGAAGAAACCATCTCCCCCCCCGAGAGAATCACTTGATTGATCAAATCAAATCCAAACGATATTTCAGATACTGGCAAATATCACATTGCAATCCAATCAAACTATGATTTACACCCCTATAATAATGAATTTTAGGCTATTTCGTCCACATTTTGCTCCCTTTTCTCACAAGCTGACATAATCAGGTAAATAACTGGCCAGAAAAGGAGAGACTGTTCTTAAACGTTTGCACAGCACATGATTCAAAGATTCCAGACTAAAGCACACCCCTAAATAAGCATAACTGCACACCTACAACATGCACTATATCAGAACATTTAAGAGGTCTCCTCAAACTCTGAAAGCATCGTGTTTGCTTTTGCCTCCTGGAATGCTACAGGCCCTAAAGCCGTCATGAATTCAGAAATAATACACTGCCTTTGCTGCCACCAAACCCCACAGTACGTTAATTTCATTTAGCATGCACTCACTGTACAGGATGAATTGATTTCACTTTGTTTGCTTTTGACAACCATGTTTATTGTGCAATGAAATGTGGAGTGGCGGAGGGCTGACAGTATCCATCAATGCGGGGCAAACTGCTGACTGCCAGGGCCAGATGAAGGTATTCATTAGCTCAGGAGCGCAGCGCTCACTCAGACACGACAGCCAGTGTCTGCGCTCCGCGATCGCTTGCTGTAATTTACGACGCCTCTCGTGCCATTATTCTATCGCTGACACTGATTCAGCAATTTATATACTGGTGTGCATGCATACGGGCAGAGGTGATCTTCTTATGGGGAGGGGTACAAAACAACTGCCTGCCATCACCTATGCCACATCCGTAGTTAGCCAGGAAACCAGCCACGTGACTCGCTCCACTGGAGGGAAACCAGATGAGCCATGGCTTCTTTGCTTCACATAGTTGCTCACACAGAAAAGTGCCTGTCTGCTCTGTCAGATATTACAGAAATCTGTAGAGTTGAACAACTGGAGGAATCTGTCAAATTAAGCTCCACCGAGGCAGGCGTTTAGTCTTACACTTGCAAAAATATGTGTAAAGTCACTTTGGCCAGTTGTAATGCTGTGTTAAAAGCACTCAGAGAATGAAATGGTATGGTACCAGGCTGACTCGGGCCAAAATAATATTTAGAATTGACCCATCTTTGTGGCCATCCATCCGCCCACCCATCCACTCTCTTCTGCTTACGTGTGGTCGAGTCACGGGGGCAGCAGCCTAAGCAGAGGTCCAGACTTCCTTCTCCCACTTGGGCCAGCTCCACCGGGGCAATCCCAAGGTGTTCCCTGGCCAAACATAGTCCCTCCAGCGTGTCCTGGGTCTTACTTTAGGCCTCCCCCGATTGGACGTGCACAAAATACCTCACCGGGGAGGTGTCCATAAGGCGTCCCAGCTAGATCTCTGAGCCACCTCAACCGGCTCCTCTCAACGTAGAGGAGCAACGAATCTACGCCGAGCCCCTCACGGATGACCGAGCTTCTCACCCCATCTCTAAGGGAGAGCCTAGACACCCTGTGGAGAAAACTCATTTTGGCCGCTTGTATCCGCGATCTCATTCATTTGGTCCCTACCCAAAGCTCGTGGGGGTATGAACGAAGGTCGACTGGTAAATTAAGAAATCCGGCTCAGCTCTCTCTTCACCACGACAGAACGGTACAAAGCCCAGATCACCATGGGTGCAGCACCAATCGGCCTACTCAAACTCCTCCACTTGAGGCAGAACATCGTCCCTGACCTGGAGAAGGCATTCTACCCTTTTCCGACTCAATACCATGGCCTCGGACATGGCGGAGCGGAAATTTCTCTAAGAAAAGAAAAAACTGAAAGTAGATCGCTAACATGGTCAATTCATCTAATATTGGGATACATCTGTGCTCTCATTCATCCCTTCAACCTGTGCATTAAAATGGGAAATTGCAGAAGAATGCAACATGCAATTTAGCGCACCATTGTTTCTGTATATTCATTAAGAATCATGATATTTTCAAATGAGCATTAGCTTTTTTTGTACATTTCCTGGAGGGGCGGATCATTTAGGAATCGGTTAGTTAGGTGTGTGATTGTGTAAATAAACACAGATGTTTGGCAGTGACAGGGCCAGCCCCCCCGGGGTGGTAACTAGGGAGGGGTGAAACAGGGAGTGAGATGCTTAATAGAATTTATTGTGATTCATGAGGCCCGCAGCTCTTGTGTGACAGAATGATATGAGGGTCCCTCTTTTAATTTGTCTCTTCTAGAAACGTGGACGAGGAGGATGAATTATTGTGTGAAAAGAAAACGAATAATGAGAAAGAGGGAAAAAAGTAAAAAAAAAAAAAAAAAAAAAGGGGTAATGTTTCGAGGCCCCATAGCCGATTGCACCTGTGAGCTGCAGGCTCAGACTCAACCTAGTACCGTGCCAGAGGGTAGCACTGCCCCGGCCGCCCCCTTCCCTCGCTCTGTCGTCATACTCATTCTGTCACCCAGGAATCTGTTCAAGAGGATGAGCCTCAGTGAGCAGGCAACAATTACACAAATCTGCCAAGCCCTCCCTGTTGGGATCAAATCTAACACCTCCGACTGAAGGCATTTACTGCTGACAATAGAGCCTCTCCCTCAGAGCAGGATCAGGCAAGATTAATGGGTACAGACGTGCAGAACACAGTGGCTCTGCTCGAACCTGGCCTCATAGCTGGCTAATTAAATCTGTTCAAATTACGACTGAAATAAACACCAGTGCAGCATCTTACTTAGACGAAAGGAATGGTTCGGATGTTTTGAACTGTGTTTTGCAGGAGCACCTGTTGGAGCACAACACCTGCTTGTTGCAGCGTGCAGGTGACAATTATTTTGTTTTTGTTTTTTTTTTACTTCTGCCTGCACAAAAGTAAAGGCTAACCTTTCATGCATGTTGCAATTATTTCCCCTGGGGGCAAATTGAAAGCCAAACATATTAATTGATTTATTTAATTCAATTGCTATGACTCTATATCTAAGCTCTCTTTTTAGCATCAAGAAGCAAGAAGCTGCCTGGTTCCCATGACCTTATATATATATATATATATATATATATATATATATATATATATATATATATATATATATATATATATATATATATATATATACATTATATATATATATATATACATTATATATATATATGTATATATATATATATATATATATATATATATATATACATTATATATATATATGTATATATATATATATATGTATATATATATATATACATATATATATATATATATATATATACATATATATATATATATATATATATATATATATATATATATATATATATATATACATATATATATATATATATATATATATATATATATATATATATACATATATATATATATATATATATACATATATATATATATACATATATATATATATATATATATATATATATATATATATATACGCATATATATATATATATATATATATATATACGCATATATATGTGTATATATATATATATATATATATATATATATATATATATATATATATATACGCATATATATATATGTGTATATATATATATATATATATATAAATAAAATCCCTAGAAGATTAAGCAGAATGAATCATGTGCGTGTATTTGTAAGATGATTCAAATTCCCTCTTCTTTTTTCTTTTTCTGTATGAGTTGTTTGGTCTTGCCAGATTCTCTGCAAATATTAGCTCAAGAGGCCGAAAGCTTCCAGTGAGGTCCTGTGATAACCAACGCCGGCTTTACTCTGCGCCTGCTCAGTGGTGGCTGCTCTGGTCTGACGGGAAGGCTGTCACACACTGAGGGGCTTTTTCACACCCTGGGTCGGGATTGGGAGGTACACCCAGTAATTTTCCTTTTCGTGGAAACACCAAAAAGTGTTCCGATCTACTCGGGAGGAAAAAAATGTGCCGGGATACCAACGTTTCCGAAGTCATTTCCATATGTTTCGTGCCAAAATGACTCCAGAAATTTTATTGCATTACTTATTTTAGATGTCTGGGAAAAAAGAAACTCAGCCAGGTTTTGGTAGAAAAGTCATAAATTTTAGGAGAAAATTTTGAAACAGGCAGTTTTTTTAATGCTTTTACAAAACCAAAGCTTCTTAAGAACTAATAACTTTCAAAATAAAGACTTTTTATTGGTTAATGTTATTAAAATCTGCACAAATAAGCTTTAAGTGTCCAGTATGTCTTTTTATATAAAGTTACATACAAATGTAAGGCCTTTGTTGGTTGAAAAGGTCAAAATCCAAACAAGGAATTCAAATTTTAACTAAAAATGTCATTGCTCAGCTCCTGTTGGTCACACAGACAGACTGATATATTGGGGTGTAAGAAATGCAAACTGTGTGTTTTGATTTGTGTGTGCTGCTCTCTCTGTCTTTAACCTCCCCCCTCCTCCCCCCTGGGAAGTGGACCTATCCCCTCTTCTAACCTCTGTCTGCTCCTAATCCATCGCCCACTGGGAACACTGATGTGAGGCGTCTGGCGCTAGCCTTTCCCTTGGCCCCGAGCAGGACTTAAAAGGACACATATGCCCTTGTGCGCGCTCTGTTTCTGTCCTGACTCCACAGTAGCCACAAAAGGAGGGTTCCCACTGGGGAGAGTGAGCGATGAAAACACATCTGTCCGAGGAGTCAGACGGGTGGAATGGGATCCTCAGCTGTGGCTCACATGGGAAACATGTCAATGGATTCTTTAAATTCACCTCTAATTCTCATCTTCTTGATTGGGTGTGATGTGAAACAAGACTTGGTGTTAAAAAATAAAGCTTTGGAGTTGGAAAGCAAATGTTTTTATGGTTTGTTTTCAAGACTAACATTTATTTTTGCCTTTTTTTTAGTCTAAACTCAGTGTGAACCAACATGCTGTGGCACTACAGCAACTACAGAGAAACTCCAACGACTGGCATTGTCCTGTGAAAAATCTCCACGTGACTCATTGAGGTATCAAATATGAGTCAGATACTTTTTAGTCTCTGCTCTTGCTCTGAAAGCCCATGGAAACTGCCACAAATATTCCCCTCAAACAAACACTGGTGCACTAAATGACGCCTTGCTCCGGTGTAGGAGCCAGCACCACAAAAGTGGATGACGCCTTGTCACGTTGGTGTAATCAGAATTCATGCCGTACCACAGCCAGCTTTGTCTCTGTGCACCCGTTGTCCTCTGCTCATGTACCTGTCAAAACCTCGGAGCCGTCTTAAACCACATTCTCGGCAAAACTACTTACATTTCTCTGTACACACGTGCATCTGCCACACATGAGGTTTCATTTCGATTAAATTCAATCCAGTTTATTTATATGGCGCCAAATCCCGTCAAGAGTCGTCTCAAGGCACTTTACGAAGTAAACATTCCAATTAAGTTGAATTCATTTTTCCAATTTGTTAAAAGTTTCCTCTGTAAGGAAACCGAGCAGGTTGCATCAAGTCACTGACTTGTGTCAGTCTTTACAGCAATCCTCATACTAAGCAAGCATGTAGCGACAGTGGAGAGGAAAACTCCCCGTTAACATGAAGAAACCTGGACTCACACACACACACACACACATCTGCATGCACATGTGTGCACGTCATGCACATTGTTTATCAGCCATCAAACTCTCTTTTTACCAAATTGACCAAAACACTGCAAATAAGGTCTTACCATCGAGATCCTCGGGCCGGGTGAGGTCAATAACTCTGTGGCCGATTTTTCCTTCTTCTCCCAGTTTACTGAGCTGATGTCCAAGGTTGTCAAAATGCATCCTCTCCTAAAGGAGAAAAACAAGCCAGTCAGGAAAACCAACAAGCGCTTGTTCGCATTTTCACAATGAAAGTAAATGACAAAAATAACTCCGATGGAGACCTGAAGGTTTGAGAAGGGGGAAAAAAAGCATCTTTGGTAAATGCAGGTTGTTTTGAAGAGCTGCTCTTTTGACAGGAGCCAAAGAGCAGCTCTTCATTCAGTCACTCCTTCATTCAGCAGCAGATGACAGGAGGCAGAGAGACAGTGAGGGCCGCGACGCGGGCGCTGTAAATAGATTTACAGAAGGATACTTTGTGATCCCAGAGCACACAATGAGGCCGCGGCCCTCTTTGCAGCGCTCAGATTTTTCTCCCCTGTAGTCTTCTCCCTCAACCTCCTTTCCAGTCCGCAGCACCAAGAGCTCAGCGCCCATCATTTATTCAGAGTTCATGTTTTTGGTGAACACACCGTGTTTTTACCATTCGTCTTGTCGCTTTGTGCTCAGATTGAACTTAGCATCATGTTGTACTTGAGCACAATGAAACCCTCTCATTCAGCACTCTGTGACAATATTAAATGTCATGTCGGTGTGCATTTGCAGAATAAAATAACAGCTTTCAGGGGAAGGGGGGGATCTGAATAGTTGCTGCACATTACACTTAATGTATTATGCAAAGGGAGAGAGTGCCGACTGCTTCTGGCTCCATTGTTGAATGACCTACTTCCTCAGTGAATACACAGAACATTAGCAAAGGGCTGTCCTCCTCTCTGAAGACTCAACTAGGAGATGAACACTTTGACTCTGCATGATACAAATAATCGTATACCCTCCTCTTCCCAAAAGGTTGTGCTCGGATGACACTAAAAGCAGGCGTGTCGCCACCATTCAGAAAAATGATTTGCTTAACTCCCTGGGTGTTGGATCTCTGGTAAAGTCGCACCGTCTACCCCGACTTTTGGTTCTTTTCTTTATAATCAACACCCTCAAACACTGAAGAACAGTATAATATAGTTTTTGCTCAAAAAAGAGAAGTTTTTCTACTGTGGCAGATTAGGATGCCTGATGATTTTGTGACATGACTGTTGGTAGTTAAAAAAAATAATAAAACGTTACGTTAAACGTTGTTTCCTGTGGAGCAGAAAGCATGCAACCTAGGCGTGACTCCTCAAACTTTTGACATTCCAAAGAACACAATGCCGATTTCTGGAGCTGTAGTTTCTGAGTCTGCTCGGGGTCCTGCGCCTGCCGATGACGTCATTATACTACGGCAATACCGCTCGGCCAAAATATATTACATCTCTTTTTTTGATTTTGTTCTTTCGCATATGTTTTGCTAAGAGTTTAGCAGTTTTATTATTAAATTCGTGTTTCTTACTGCATAAATCTTTTGAACGTGGTAACATTTAGTGTGACGTCATCAACAGGCACACGCCCCGAGCCGGCCAGAAGGAAACATGGCGTATAATATAGCGTTCCCCACAGATGCTAGACCTGCGCCCTATGTACTTTAGACCCAATTTTTAGGGTTATATATTACAAAGTCGCCAATATTTTTCAACAAATGGAGATCATTTTACTCATTTTCAACAATGTTTTGATGGATATTGACAGTTTGAACTACATATTATCTCTTTAAAACAAGGTAACCATTCCTAAATATAATCCAAAATTTCTTGAAAATAACTGAATTTAAATGTATTGACTGGTTTTAATAATTCTAGCCACGCAACTTTGCTTACCCCATTGGCAGATGTATTTTTACTCAAAAAATCTGGATCATATTTAAGAATTTTTACCTTATCTTAAGTAATGCTAATTTTCTAGAGAAATGTTTTTTCTTCTTCTTTGACTAAAAACAAGATAACATCTCTAGAAATGAGACTTTTTTAAACTTTCGTAGAAATCAGGTTTTACAGTGAATATCCACATTTTTTACACGGTAAATTAAATCACATTGAGAAGAATAGCCAGCAGACATAGAAGTGCATGTTCGAAAAAAAAAAGAAAAATTATTTATTTTTTCTTCTTTGTGTAATTTTTTCTATTGAATATAAAAAACAAAAGATGACCAGATAAAGACCAAAGATAGTTCAAGTGCATTTGAGGCCTTTCACGGCATTTTGAATTTCTTCTTAAGCTTTTATTTATTCAAGAACTCTTCCTCCAAAGAAAGGAATGTGCGAACGGCAGAAAAAAGCACCGCAATTTACCATCACACTTGAAGGAGCACTCATTATTTATGACCAGCTGAGTGATTCTGATATACAATTAAACACTACCTGCTTATGGCCTGTGATTAGAGGCTGTCTGTCTGACGGCCCCCTTTGCTTACTTAAGTGTTTTCTAATTATGACATATGCGGTGGTCCCTGCTGGGCAAGAGGACACTTTGTAAAGAGAAGATGGAGTACGGCGCCTTTCACGGTGTCACGTTCTGTGTAAAGCAACACGCGCACGCCCATGTACGCGTCACCATATCCATCAGCCTTCCACGTTATTGCTCTTAATGAAAAGAAGCTAGCAGTCTGATGACAAAGTGACTAAAGTGCGATTAGCTGGATGGTGCTGCTTCAGAGGATTCTCCGACAGTCCGGTTGGGAAGACGCAGTGTTCATTGGCGCTGTGTGTCTGTAATAAAGTAGTCATCCCATCCCTCTTCTGTGCTTCGCTGGCCCCTCTTGATCAATCAAGTCCTTTTATAAACTCATGATCATTAAGCATCGTGTTGGGCTGGGGAGGAGAGAGAACAGGGGCCATCCATCAATGGTTTTCATTAATAACTGTGCCGGTGTTGAACTTCTTCCTCCGCTGCACTGTCATAAGATCGGTGGAGATCAGCACCTCAGACGGTGTAGAAGCACGCTGAATGAAACTCTTTTGAGGGTTCTTAGAATTTTTATCTATTACTTTCTGTTTCGTAGAGGCCAGTCGTTTGCATGTTAAAATATAACAGCAGTAAGTAAGTTGTGCTCATATGCTAATTAATGTAAGTTTATTAGTCCAATACGGCGCTGCAAATTTTCATAAAATTTTATATACTGAGCCTAATATACTTATTGGTTATAAGTTTGGTAATTTATCTCAGTGAGGTAGAAATATAGCAGGAATTAGGGCCATAAGTTATCCGCGCAGCGCCGGGGTTTTTTTGTTTTAGGGCTGGAAAACATTCAGCGAGCTAACGCTTCTTTACTGCCCACGCATCAAGTGCTGTGATAAATTAATGGCAGTTTTATTATTTTATAGTGTCATTAAATTTTTACTGATCACTCTGACACAGAGGAGTAGCGAAAGGACATGGCGTATCCGGGGAAGCTAGAGGTTCTGCTTCTAGAAGAGCCCATCAGTATTTGAATGATATGATAAAAAAAGGCATTTATGATGCAAAGTTCTTTGGCGCAACACGAGTGGGGCTAAGTGCTGAAAAAGTAAACATGAAAAAGGGATTACTTCAACCAAACGGCACATATAAACAAATCAAGTTCAAGATAAAAAAAAAAGAAGAGAAATTTCAGGAAACAAAAGCTGCAATGGTCCACGTTATTCTCCTCCTACTCAACCACAAGTGCTGGCAAACTATCAGTCTCTCCCCTGAATGACTTCAGCATGCAGTTCTCTATGCCACAAGTAAAATTACAGCAGTGTGCTCGGAGCTGTAGTGGAGGACCGCCACCCACAATAATCTGAACTGCCTTTCCTGTGCGGTCTTTTGCCTTTAAAGTCTAGAAACAGATGTAGTACTTGTTCGCTTGCACATGATTTCAGTTGTGAAGCCATGAGCCAAGCCAGTGAAACCGTGAGTCACAGAGGAAGAGAGACAAGTAGGAAGAGGATAGATAACAGAATGCGTGGAGCTTCTTGTGCGAGGGAACCCAAAAGGGGCCTTGTCAGCGTTATAAAGAAAGCTTTAATCTGGCTCGCCGCAGAACATGTGCTCGAGGCCTTCTGCTCTGCCCACAGGGTGTATTCTGGGAGGAGGCGGGTGGCGGACCGCCCTGTGCATTGTGCCTGCTTCTTCCCTGTATTTCAGCAACATGCTACCAATCCCGAGATCTTTTTTTTTTTTTGTCTCCATGGTTTGCAAATAACCTGAGGCTATGGGATCGCAATGAGCCTGAGCTTGATCCAAAACAGCCAAAAGCTGCTGGAGTGAGGTAGATGCTGCTAAATAATAGTTCATTTTGTTATGTTGAACTTATATTTTTATGATTTTTCTGTCTTGAAAAAAGTAATTTAACACTTGGAACACCACAGTGAAAACCTCTGATGAAGTATTTATGTAAAAAGGAAAAAAGATGGAAAAGTTTATTTTGCGTGTTCTTCTCACTTTCATATTTTTTAAAGACATTTAAAAAGCATCTGTGCTTCAGTCAAATTCATTTCGGGGTGTAAAAACTGACCTGATTTTACATTTAAGGCTGATGAGGTCGATTTTTTTTCTCAAAACTGAAATCTGACAGCGGTTGGGCGCTGACATCTTTTTTTTTTCTCTCTCACAGTGGAAAGAATAGCACTGCAGAAGTTTAAGATTTCATAATTGGAGCCTTTAACAGCTGCAAGACCATAAATAGCCACTTAGATTTGATAATGTGCAGAACTTGCTCTTGTTATATCACACACCTGGTATGTGGTTAAGTTGAAGGCACTGGTTCAGACCACAATGCTGGGCTTTGTGTATTGAGTGTCAGTCACCACTGTGGTCTGCTGCTCTTGAGTGAAGACCTGGGGTCCCAGACTGAACTTCTAAACAATCCGTCCCAGTCCGGACAGAAACAAAGACGGCCCTTAGCTACGCCTAGCTTCTTACAGCTCTCTGCCTCATCTGCTTTGTATTTTTATTGTGACCATTTATTGTAACCAGTTGCAAAGTTATTTAAAGATCTGCTGCTTTCCAGTAGTTTAGTGAGTTTTGAACCATTTAAATGTTAAGTACATCCAGGCATGTGGTGAACCCACAGAGCTTTTCATGGAGGCTGTTACTCAGATTTTTTTTCTCCCATAGCTGTCCATTTGTAGAGGCTAATGCAG